ATTTAAAATATAACAAATTATAAGTTTTAAATACAGTAAGCTCTCTTATAAACTCCTCTACATAGTGCAATACTTGTAAAGACAATTGCAAAATATATTAAAAATTAAATTGTAAGTGAAAAGGCCTTCATACTGTGTTATTTAATTCTGAATATACTTTTCAAATGCATATGCAAAAACCAAACTATATTAAATAGCTTTATAAGAGAAGGTTAGTGCAGCTGAATAACCTGGACAAAGATTACCATCAAGAAGTTAGCTGGCACTTGTGAATTAATGTTTCCAACAATGGCAAATTAAATTTACTACAAAAATTAGAATAACAAAATTACTGTTAAGTTTTTTGCTTTTATCAAATGAAAAGGGAAATTTTTGCCAAATTTTTAGAGCAAGTCACAAATGTACAGCAAAGTTAGTGATCATCTGCTAAAAAATCAAGAATAATTCCACTGTAGTGTGAAGTAATAAAAAATATTATTCTTTTCATATATATAAGAAGCTACATATGACATTTGCTTTCCTAGCATTTTTTTCAATGATACCTCACTTTTAAGAGGAAAAAATGTGAACTCCAAAAATATCTTCTGCAAATAATTTATCAATATGTTCGAGGTTTTGCTCACTACAGCAAGACTGATAGTAAAGACAATCTTGCAGATATTTTAAAATTGTTGTTAGAAACTGAAAGAATTTCTAGATTTTTTGAAGTGCTGGTACAAGTCTATGGATGAAAAACAACATTTAAAAAGGAATGTAGAAAGAACAAAAAGTAGGTTGAGAAGTATTGAAGGTGTGCAGCAGCACAACTACATAATCAAGGTCAATATTTATTTTGGTTTAGTGTGATGTCTGACTAATACTGGCATGGAAATGTGAATTAAGGGTCTATTTAAACATGTGCTAGTGGGTCCCCATTTTACGATGGTGGTGCTTAAAATTTTTATCACCTTTGTGTTGGGACTCTGTTTTACTGGCACTCTGGTATGTTATGATTTGTTTATTTTGTTTGGAAATAACACTCTAATCTCAACTGTTGTTTTTTGAATGGCTTGAAGTGTGGACAGATATTTACGAAAAGAAAAAATAAATTTTTCAATACATAAAATTTCTTCTTATCAGAACAGAGTGGCCCTCTTAAAAGAGATCTGCACTCATTCTCTAGTTGTCTTTCAATAAATGCACAGACAAACCGAATTCAAGTTAACCCATCACTCTGCAACATCACCTGTCCATCCATTCAGATGATGCACCAAAATATAACCATCTCCAGAACTAAAACTGATTTCCTTGAACTATGGATCTTCAAAAAAGTTAGCTTCTTTATGCTCCAACAGCATCTTAAATCCACTCACTCCAGTTATAATGACTAAGATGCCTATCAACAATATAAAGAATGACATTATCATTAGTAGCAATTTAAGCATTGTGATAACATGTCTAATAAAATTGTGCTTGTCGTCAGCATTCAAGACTCACATATTAATTCTCCTTTTAAAAAACTATAACATTTTCATGCAAAAACTCAAAAAAGAATCAAGCTCAAAAATTACAGTGTAAGTAAAATAGTCAGAATAGTTAATGCAACATCCTAGGCCAATTATCCACTACTGATATTGACAATAATTGAAAAGGGAAGGTAGAACTTAGGTGGTCTGAGGACTGAAGACTTGGCAGCGAGAAGTACAAGTCTGGGGAGCTCATGTGAGGTGGGAGTTTTACCACTCCAAAGGTTGAAACAAACCGGGTGTCATCAAGAGCTTCTTCATACCAACTTGCTGTAGCAATTAGTCAACCAGCTTGTGCCCATTCATAGCCAAAGCAACTGTTATGCATTGCTTTAGAGAAATTATATATGGGATCACAACTGTATCAATTTTTTAATGCTCTAAAATCCCATTTGTTTGTATTTATAGTGGGGGCAGTAATGCGCTCCAGCACTGCTCACTGCAACATCATGCATCCCAGAGAGTTGACCCATAGGCAACCTGACCCTATGTAGCACGGCCCTGTGTAACAGCTTGGCCCTATGTGGCAGCTAGCCTTATGTGGCAGCTGCCACCCAACACAGCAGTGCCAAATCAAACAGCAAAAATGACTGAGGAATTTGGCCATGGAGTCCCACTCTGAGGAAGAGCCACACGTTTCCTACCCAGGGGGCCGTGCTGACTATGAACTTCTCAGGAACTGATCTAAGGATCACCACCATAAACATCAGGTTGTTTTAATTTTAACCCTTTGATTGTTTTGGTCGTATATATACGTCTTACGAGCCAGTGCTTTGGACGTATATATACTCAATAATTCTAGCCCGGGTTCAATCAAGCAGGAGAAGCTGGTAGGCCCACCCTGTGGGGAGAATGGGTCTGTGTGGTCAGTGTTACACCCACATAAAAAAAATCCTGCAGCACGCATGCATAATGAGAGAGAAAATAAAACTGACCATTTTTTTTGGATTAAAACGCCGACTTTGAGGTGTATTTTCGTATAGTATTTATCGTTGTATTCTCATTGCCCCGGTCCCTTTTGTGATAAAATGGAAAACATATTACAGAAATAGAGATGATTTTGATTAGCTTCACGATGAAAACAACCTTGAAATTGAGCTCAAAATAGCGGAAATGTTCGATTTTAAACCCAAAGTTCAGGAGTAAGCAAATCACACCACACATTTCCCAAAACACAAACAACTGGGGAGTCTAATATTCTTTCACTAGTGCACTGATATTATTTACACCATTTTTACAATAATGCAGTAGTCTGCATAACATTAATTTTTTAAATTTTTTTTTATTAATAAAAAATCAAAAAAGAAAACAATAGTAATACAAGAGGGGCCTAGAGATGTGACTAATGAACAGAGATATGTTATTTTAGTGCCAAGAATGTCTACATTGTTTATTCTGGACCCTTTTTTGAAATTGGCATTTTTTTAATTTGCGTGAAATTGTTCCCCAAAATTTCCAATTTTTTGACCACTTTTTTGGGGAGTTCAAATTGGTAAATGGCAGTTTCTTGTACCAACTGATAGAAAAAATGGAGTTCTAAGAAATAGCCATGAGTTTGGTCAACTGGAACACAAATTAGCCAAAATAGGGTCAAAGCGCAAAATGCCGAGCGTATATGCGCCGAGACCACTAACTTTGCCGGAGCGAATTCTGCGAGTTTTCGACCCAAATTTAAACTTTTTGCTGTCATTACCATCGGGGAAAAGATTCTCTATCATTTCATAAGAATTTTTTTTTTTTTTTCCAAAAACTTTCGACATAGAATGACAGTTTTCAAAGGGGCTTGCGACAGTCCCAAAGGGTTAAAGTGGAGACTTTTCTGCAAATTCCACTTTCATGTCAAATATTCTCAGGAAAGGGAACAGAAGGTCTTTATGAAAATGAAGAGTTACTAGTGACCATGATGTGATTTAAAACAAACTCTTAGAAGTAGAGGCATGGTTTTAGGGTTGGTTACAGGTGCAGCAGCTGAATTATCCCCCTGATCAAGATCACCAGATCAAACAGAAAGGGAAAAGCAAGCCAACGACAATAGAGCAACCTAGATTTGGGTTTTAAGAATTACCCTAAACCCATTCCCTGAAACATGAGAGGGGTTAACAATCAGACAACCTGGGAGTATACTGTTTCAACAAGGTTTGTGCAGCTGATACTCTTGACATAACACAGGGTTTAGTCCATAATTAAGTAAGTCAAACAGAGGAGATTGACTTTGCTGGAGGGCCACCCGCATAGAATTTTAATATTTAAAATCTACTCTCCAGGTTTATTCCACTCCAAAATTATTCTTCCCAAAAATGGTGACAGAGAAAATTTCAGCTCAATGGCCAGGTATTATGGCTAGCTGATAGGCTGGTATTAACCCACTTAATGGCACATCATCTGTCATTTCCTCTCAAAGGGCTAGTTTACCCAATGCAGGGAAACCTGTTTCCACAAATGAAGCAGCAACAACACTAACACTGAAGTATGGCATTTTTTTCAGAACTAGGGGTGTCACAATATGCTGTCCTAAACTCTCAACCCTCAGGGCTGACAAATGATTATGGCTGCAGTTTTTGAGATCATTGAAGACAACAGATAACAGGCCCGCAAAACGCAGGCTTGAATGTCCAGAAATTGCTTTAATTCTTGCAAGACCTAAACAAGTGCTGACCAATGCATGGTAAAACATCCCGTGGAGAAGAATGCACATCATCAAAATCAGATAGCTAAATTAAGTGTAAAAGTATGAATCTAAGACACCAAATAGCTGAGGAACTGGACAGGCAGTGGCAGCCAAAATGTTCTATAAATATATGATTAAGTTGGCTGGCAGCAGCTAATATTCTCTCCACTGATGCTCCCCCCAAGAAGAAGATCAAGCAAATACTTTGCTCCCAAGATAAAGAGCACTGACAAAGTAACTTGCTGGGGAACTTAATACAGACCTTGTTACAATACTATACTACAAGTTTACTATTTTATTTATTTCTTAATCTGCTTGTATCACTCAAGAAAACTTACTTAAGGCATATAAAGTGTGTGCAGTAGACAATGTATACTGCAAGCAAAGTAATAACACTGCCAGTGAGTCTGTTGCTGCCTCTTACCAGACAATGCACAAGTTCTGTTTAATAAAACCTTCCCTAAGGATAAAATTTTCTTGCAACCACATGCCCCAGATTTTAAATTTGCTGTTAACTAATTTTAAATAACAATAAAAGTCTAATCATCAATACAAACATATGGAAAAATGAGGTGTAGTGCACATCTTTCACGACAACTTTTATTATCACTCTTTCATGTTTGGGATATTGGCAGTTTGGAGGGATATGTTGTGTATCTTTATACGTATATGCTTCTAAACTGTTGTATTCTGAGCACCTCCGCAAAAACAGTGATAATGTGTGAGTGTGGTGAAAGTGTTGAATGATGATGAAAGCATTTTCTTTTTGGGAATTTTCTTTCTTTTTTGGGTCACCCTGCCTCGGTGGGAGACTGCCGACTTGTTGAAAAAAAAAAAAAAAAATTTGACAGGAAAAAGTAGACTAGATACCTTCCCTTCTTAGCCATGAGTTTCAAAAATGTTAGTGAGTAGCTGGTTAACTAAGCCAGGAATGAGGATCTGCTTAACCCCTTGACTGTCGCAACCCCCAATCCTGAGATGTCTCCTGGTGTCAGAAAAAAAAAAAAAATCCTATGAAATGATAGAGAATCTTTTCCTGATTGTAATGACACCAAAAGAACAAAATTTGATGGAAAACTGATGGAATTACGCTCTCATGAAGTTAGTAACCTCGGCAATATTTACAAATCGGCGATTTCGCCCACTTTCAGCCCTATTTTCGGCTAATTCCATTGTTCCAGTCGACCAAACTCATAGCTATTTCTTTAGAACTCCGTTTTTTCTATCAATTAAGCACAAGAAACTGCCCATTTACAGATTTCAACTACCCAATAACGTGGTCAGAAATTTGCAATTTGGCCAATTTCACAAAAATTAAAAAATATGACAATTTCAAAATAAGGTCCAGAACGAACAATGCAGACATTCCTGGCTCTAAAATAACATTTTCTTTGTTCATCAGTCACGTCTCCAGGCTCCTCTGATATTACTCTTGCTTTCTATTTTGAATTTTTATTCAAACAAAAAATAGAAAATTTACTGTTATGCAGACTACTGCAATACTGTAATAATTGAACAAATAATGTCAACCTATTCATGACTGCATATTAGAATGGCTAGTTGGACATTTATTGGACAATGACATCATTTGTTTACTTTTGAACATCGGCAAAAATTAAACATTTCCCCAACTTTGAGCTCCATTTCCAGGTTCTTTTTATAGTAAAACCAATCATTTGATTGGTTTCACATTTACTATGATAGAATGGGAAACATATTAGTATACATTTTCCATTCTATCAAATGAGACCAAGAAAACAAGAATACAACCATAAATACTATACAAAAATAGATCACAAAGTCGGCGTTTTAATTAAAAAAAAAAACGATCATTTTTTTTTTCTCATTATGCACTGCGTGCTCCAGGATTTTTTTTATATGGTGCACTGACTCAGACCCATTCTCTCACATGTGGGCCTACCAGCTTTCTCCTGCTTGATTTGAAACCGCTAGAATTTATGAGTATGTATACGTCAAACACGGTGGCTCGTAAGACGTATATATATGACCGAAACAGTCAAAGGGTTAACCAGACCAGATGTGAGGTGCTAGTTACCCAAGCCAGGAGTTAACATGTGGTTAACTAAGCCATGAGTAAGGAGCTGTTTACCTATGCCTGCAGTGAATAGCTGGTTAATTACATCTGAGTTGATCACAGCTTTCTTTCAAAACTCAACTAGACAAGGTGAGGAAAAATGCTCTGCTTTGGTGGCTAATAGCTTATAATAAATAAAAAAAATCATAACTTATATACCAGTAGTAACATGATGCTCATGACATAACTAAATTAATTCACTAATAAATGAGAGCAAATTATATATAAAATCTTTGCACCTGAGGCTATTGGTAAGTTCAGTTTACTATTAAGGAAATTATAATTATAATCAAAACTAAGCTCTGGGTCATATAGCACTGCACTATTACAGAAAGAATCATGTTAAATGCAAATTAATCAGTAAATCTTTTATGTAATTAACAAGTCAGAGATATCCACCTACCAATACATATACTGTAAGCACAGTAACATCTAAAATTTTGAACACAAATCAAATTATAAAACACATTGTGCTGGATATTACATGTGGATACTAACATTTATATATTAGGAAGGTTGAAGTTAGCCATGTTGTTAGCCTCAGACCAGGCTGCATGTGTAGCACCATCCATCTCTCCCGCCACAGTGTTATCACTCCTTAACCGGTGGGATGAACCTCCAATCTTTGAACCACAGTCAGGACATGTGCCTTCCTGCATGGCTCCTCCACACTCAGTGATGCAATATATATGTCCTTGAGGACACTTGTACCAGTGTCCTTGTCTCAGTCCCATAGTTTTCAAAATCATAATCTTCTCACTTTGACTGATTCCTAAGCCACCACAATACTTCTCACTTTCTTTAAGAAGAGCACAAACTTTTGTGTCCAGTACTGAATCAAATTTTACTGTAGGATCCATTAATTTATCCAACTGTGCCTTGATTACTCTGACACTTTCATTGCTGTTGGTCAGAAATTTTTCTTGAAAATTCCAGTAAGCAGGAAGAATCATTAGACGCTGCAGTTCACAGCTCACTTCTTCAACCATTTGAGGGGCAATGATGGTATTTTTTTGCATAACAAGTTCAACAATAGCTTCCACTCTGGGTCGTAAACGAATTTCATGCTTAGACCCCAGATGTACACTATGAAGTCTTGCAAACAAAGGCCTAGCACTGAGAGGCCTAGCTTTATCTTCAGACAAAGACATCAGAATCTTGGTTGCTTTTTTAAGGACTTGGGCTTGAAACTGTATAAGTCTCAGTTCTCCTTCATTGATGAAGGCTTTCTTATGTTTCAATGGACCAACACCAAGTTTCTTAAACAGCTCTTTGACCTGGGTCATGAAGCGTGCAGCAATTTCTGGATCTGTGGAGGTGGAAGATATAATGAAGAACTTTACACTTTTGTAACTTCTACACTCATGAGATTACTGTCAATCTTTACTGGATTTTTAGGGAAAAAAGACACCTATAAGATAGGTAATGAATTAAAGTAATGATCACAAAAAATTATCCTGGAGAAATAATTTATATATATGGTGGACCCTTGACTTACGAAGGCCTCGTCTAACAATAAAATCAACTTACGAAGCGTTTCAGCATAAAAAATTTCCCCGGCCTACGAACAAAAACTCAACTTACATCATTTGTCCAGAACGCGTTCACGCATCCCTCTGACCTGAGTGCCCTCAGCTGCCCTGCCTTCAGTTAGTATGCCAATGTTTACAAGCCAGTACGGTCGCTTCCGCGCATACATTCAGTACATTTTGTATTATTCCAGTGTTTTTAGTGCTTGTAACTGCTAAATAATAAAAAATAATAAAGCTCCATCTCCCCTCCTCCCATCCCATCACTCATCACTACATCTTCAATAAAGGTGTCATTTATTCTTCATTTAGTACAGTACATGCACAATATATATTGTGCACGTATTCTTTTTGTGTGTAGGAAAATGTATATTTCATGTGGTAAATTTTTTTTTTTCATACTTTTGAGCATCTGGAACGGATTAATTGGATTTCCATTATTTCTTGTGGGGAAAATTAATTCAACTAATGATAATTTTGTCTAATGATGAGTTCTCTGAAATGGATTAATATCGTAAGTCGAGGTTCCACTGTATATATATATATATATATATATATTTATTTATATATATATATATATATATATATATATATATATATATATAATTGTATATATATAATATATATTTAGTATATATTATTTACTATATTGTAATATATATATATATATATATATTATTATTTTATCTATATTTATTATATACATCCTAGGTAGTAGGTTTGGTAGACAAGCAACAGCCAAGGGATGGTTACTACCGTCCTGCAGTGAGTGTAAAACGTAAGCCTGTAATTGTTTTACACGTGGTAGGATTGCTGTGTTTTTTCTGTCTCATGTTGTGCTGTGCAAAAGAAGAAAATTAAGGTGAATACAGGAAAGAGTTAGGTTATGAGGTAACAAAAGATTAGGTGATGCAAGATTGGAATAATCAGATGGGAGGGGAGAGTATTATGGAGGAGGTGAACGTATTCCGATATTTGGGAGTGGACGTTTGTCAGCGGATGGGTAATGAAAGATGAGGTGAATCATAGAATTGATGAGGGAAAAGAACGTGAGTGGTGCACTTAGAGTCTGTGGAGACAAAGATCTTTGTCATTGGAGGCAAAGAGGGGAATGTATGAGGAGTATAGTTTTACTCAACTCTTCTTATATGGGTGTGAAGCGTGGAGTGATGAATGTTGCAGCGTGGAGAAGGCTGGAGGACAGTGGAGTGTCATGTCTGAGGGCATGTGTGGTGTGAATATAATGCAGAGAAATTCGTAGTTTGAAGTTAGGAGGAGGTGGGGTTAACAAAACTGTTGTCCAGAGGGCCTGAGGAAGGGTTTGTTTGAGGTGGTGCGCGACTTGTAGAGAGAAATGGAGCGAAACAGAATGACTTCAAGAGTGTTTCAGTCTGTAGTGGAAGGAAGGCGTGGGTAGGGGTCGGCCTAGGAAGGGTAGGAGGGAGGGACGGGGAAAGGGGTTTTGTGAGCGAGGGGCTTCTGGACTTCCAGCAGCATGCTTGTGAGCGTGTTTGATAGGAGTGAATGGGACAAATGGTTTTTAATACTTGAGTGTGTTGGAGTGTGAGCAAAGTAAACATTTATGAAGGGATTCCCCCCCTGGGAAACCAGGCAGGGGACTTGAGTCTGGAGATGGGAGTACAGTGCCTTGCACTCGAAGGAGGGGTTGTTAATGTTATGCAGTTTAAATACTGTAGGTAAAGCACCCTTCTGGCAAGACAGTGATTTCGAGTGAATGATGGTGAAAGTTTTCCTTTTTCGGGCACCTGCATTGGTTGGGATTCGGCCGGTGTGATAATAAAAAAAAATAAAATAAAACATGCAAGGTTTCAGGTAAGGTCTTGCTACTTCTGCCTTATCACTTAGGTCACATACACATACATTGTACAAGATTATGTTATACACACCCCTCTGGGTTTTCTTCTATTTTTCTTACTAGCTCTTGTTCTTGTTTATTTCCTCTTATCTCCATGGGGAGAGGGAACAAAGAAAGTCTTCCTCCGTAAGCTTGCGTGTTGTAAGAGGCGACTAAAATGCCAGGAGCAAGCGGGTTAGTAACCCCTTCTCCTGTATATATTACTAAATATGAAAGTAGAATCTTTTGTTTTTCATTTTTGGCCACCCCACTCGGTGGGAATACGGCTTGGTGTGTTGAAAGAAAGAAATATATATTTACATACAGTAGACCGTCATTTAGCACGAGTTTATTTGGCACAATTTGGGTATAGCCCAACAATTGATAGAATTGTGGCACAATTTTACATAACTGTCGTTTAGATACACGGTTCAGTTTGCGGGGGGGAAAGAAAAAAACTTCCCTTTTCCTCAAAGCGGCTGCCTTGTTGTGGATCAGCGAGGGAGACCTCCTGCCATCCCCAGCCACCCCCGACACCACTCCACCATCCTAGCATTCATACTTCATGCGTGTCCAGTACAACTTCTCTGACTACAAGCTTATGATTGTGAAATGAATTGGTGTTGATCTTTTAATTCAAATAATCTTGTATCTGCCCAGATTCACGACACCCAGTAGGCATATCAGTGTTGCTCAAAGTGGCAAGAAAAGGTGTAAACATTTAAGCCTTAGAATTAACGAAGGAAACAAAGATATTAAACAAGACATAACCTGTGGCCATAATGAAGTGTTACTTTGTACACATAAAAAGAGGTTTAACATAAGTTTGTGTGACTGACTGACTTACTGAATCATTTGACTGACTTATTGAATGACTTGAGACTTACTGAATCACTAGACTGACTTACTGAATCACTTGACTGACTTACTGAATGACTTGATTGACTTACTGAACGACTTGATTGACTTATTGAATGACTTGACTTACTGAGTGACTTAAAGTTAGACACTCCAGTACAACCATCAACTTCAGTACCAGAACCTCTACCATCCAACTCAGCCCAGAGGCCACTGGCATAACTCTCCACTCTCTTTACAATCATTCAATACACCAGCACCCACAATTTAAAGGTTAGAAATACTATTATTTCTGTTAAATTTCGTTAGTCTTAAGCAGTAATATAAAAACAAACATAATACATCCACAACAGGAACTACAATTTAATATTCACTTTTATTTTTTGTAGGTGTGGAGGCCTAAAAAAAAGTTTGAACTTTTTCGGGGTTCTCAGAAACATATCACCTATTTTTCCTATAATTTCTTCAGTTTATCATAACGGTTTTATTAACATGGTGTTTTCCTGTAACGATAACTACGTGTTAAATGGTCTACTGTATGTATGGTTTGTATGTAGGTTATGTATTTATATATATGTATATATATTTATAATATATATATATATTATTTATATATATATACTATATATATATATATATTATATATATATAGTATTATTTTTATTATCACATGGCCGATTTCCCACCCAAGGCAGTGGTGGCCCGAAAAAGAAAACTTTACAATCATTCACTCCATCACTGTCTTGCCAGAAGGGTGCTTTTACACTAAAGTTTTTAATCTGCAAACATAACACCCCTCCTTCAGAGTGCAGGGGCACTTTGTAATTCCCATCTCCAGGACTCAAGTTCCGGCCTGCGGTTCCCTGAATCCCTTCATAAAAACTGTTACTTTGCTCACACTCCAACAGCACGTCAAGTTATTAAAAAACCATTTGTCTCCATTCACTTCCTATCAAACACCGCTCACGGATGCCTGCTGGAAGTCAAAAGCCCTCGCACACAAAACCTCCTTTACACCCCTCCCTCCAACCTTTTCTAGGCCGACCCCCTACCCGCTTCCTTCCACTACAGACTGATACATCTGAAGTCATTTCTGCTTCGTCCATTCTCTCTACATGTCCGAACCCACCTCAACAACCTTCTCAGCCCTGTGGACAAACGTTTTGGTAATCCGCACTTCCTCCTATTTCCAAAAAGATACGAATTCTCTGCATTATATTTCACACCACACATTGCCCTCAGACCATGGACATCTCCACTGCCCTCCAGCCTTTTCTCCTCGCTGCAACATTCATCTTCCTTGACTGTACACCCATATAAGAGCGTTGGTAAAAACTATACTCTCCATACCATTCCCCTCTTTGCCTCAAGAGAAAAGTTCTTTGTTCTCCACAGATCTAGTGCACCACTCACTCTTTTTCCCTCTCAATTCTATGATTCACCTCATCTTTAATAGACCATCTGCTGACACGTCACTCCCAAATATCTGAATACGTCCACCTCCTCATACTCTCTCCTCCAATCTGATATTCAATCTTTCATCACCTATTCTTTTTATCCTATAACCTTACTATTTCCTGTATTCATCTTTATTTTTCTTCTTTTGCACCCCTACCATTCACTCCACCCAAATCTTGCAACTTCTTTTCAGAATCTACCCAGGCACCGTGTCATCAGCCAAAGAGCAACGTGGACAACTCCCACTGTATGTGTGATTCCTTTATCTTAAACTCCACGCCTCTTGCCAAGAGCCTCGCATTTACTTATCTTACAACCCTCTATAAATTATAAATAAACAACACGGTGACATCACACATCCTTGTCTAAGGCCTACTTTTACTGGGAAAAAATTTCCCTCTTTTCCTACATACCTCTAATACTTGAGCCTCACTATCCTTAGTAAAAAATCTCTTCACTGCTTTCATAAACTACCTCCTACACAATACACTTGCAACATCTGCCAGTTTGCCCCCCTATCCACCTTTTCAACGCCTTTTCAAATCCTTAAATGCCACCAAAAGAACTCTTTGCTTTATCTAAATACTGTTCACTTATATGTTTCACTGT